AACGGTTACCTACCCATCGATGGGTAAATGTTTCCCATCGCTGGGTGGGAGGTTGACTTTCAAATAAGGAAAGAATCAGCCTTAAATGACTCCCAACGGTCATGCCTTCCCATCGATGGTTAAGCCTTCCCATCGCTGGGTTCCCATCGATGGGTAAAGCTTCCCATCGCTGGGTAAGAGCATTCTGCCTTGTGGTAATGTTGCACCAAGGCTTTAACATCGATGGGTAGAACTTCCCATCGCTGTTTGGCATGGTTCTGGAAATTGGTTTGGCTAAGGGATTGCTTACCCATCGATGGGAAGATCTTCCCATCGCTGGGTGGCATGATTCTGGAATCCCGGGATCACTTACCCATGCATGGGTAAACTCTACCATCGCTGGGTAGATGGCTAGCCCAGAACCATGGCCTAGCCGACCGGCGCTCAAACCCGACCGAAAAATGCAAAGTTCTCCAAAGTAAAAACTAAGTATTTAAAACACTTATTTAATGTATTTTGATGTCAAAACAAGCTTTGTAAGTTGAAAACCACGTCGTTAAGGTAAAAACCATAGTTGACCAAGTCAACACCGTACACGGGTGGTTTTCACCAAAAGACAAAACCAGAAGGTGGTTTTCATGATGTTTTGATTGGAGAACCATTTAAATGCATTCAAAAACAATTCCCACAAAAAAGGACTCGAAAACCACTTCATTTAAGTAAAAACCACGGCTAGCTAAGTTAATGTCGTTTCACATGGTTTTTATCAAACGACAAAAAACGAAAGGTGGTTTTTGAAGTGTTTTTGATGAAAAAACTATTTAAATGTGCCCAGAAATAAAAACCAATCATAAAAAGTTGAAAACCACTTGGTTAGTTCGGACGCCAAAAACCAACGCCGAAAACCGAATGTCGAACGCCGGTTTCTAAAACCCGAACGCCGGATGGCTTGGTTTTTGGTTTGGGCAAACACCAAGTGTTTTTAATGTTTTAAAAATGTTTGAAAAACATATTTATGATGTGAAATGGAATGAAAAGAATTTTAGCCTAAAGAGCCAAGGTGTAAAGATTTGGTCGGTCTTGATCACAATTGTGACCGACTCAACGACACTAAGACTACGGTCTTCGTTCTTGGTCTTCTTTTGTCCCTTGTTCTCTTTCTTCTCATCTTTGGTTCTCGCCTTGTATATTCAATGACTTGTCTCGTTCACGGCGGTTTGGCATTATCAAAACCTGTCATAACAATGAATGCGGCTTTAGTACGAAAACGTGATAAACCCGTGTTTCAACAGTGTTTACTATAGTTAATCACTCCATAACAAAATCTTTCTTAAAGAGTAGAATATGAGTAAACTAATTTATATCATCAACACACTCAATTCCTTAAGAAATGGCCTAAAAAAGCTATGTAAAGAGTTTATGGAATACATTATAAAACTATGAAATGTGTAAGGAATCGTTTTGAAAAGTAGACCCAAGAGACCCCTTTTATACACAAAAGCAAGGCGCAGCGGTTAGAAGAAGATTGGGGTTGATTTGCAAGATTTGTGGAAATCAAAAGTTGGTCTACTTAAAACTGGCCTAACATTGATGTTCATATAGTGAACACTGCTTTTTGGCTTTGAGTTTCCTTTTGAATAGCCAAACGGTCATGAGAACATCGATGTTTTGAAGGCTATATCGATGTTTGTGTTGTTGAGTTTCAAAAATGGAATGATTTTGTCTTTAAGACTTCAACGGTCAGTTGAAATCATCGATGTTCACTATTGAACATTGTTGTTCAAAAACCTACTACCAAAAACTAATGTGAGCTAATTTGGCCAAAACATGTATGTTCAAAGTCCAACATCACTATTTTGAAACCCACGGCCATTGTCAAAACAACGATGTTGGGTATGCCTACATAGATGTTTTGTCTGGATGCTAAAACCATGGTTTGGTAGCCAATGCCGAAAATCGATGTTAAAAATAAAAGTTTCCCAAATTAAAAACCAAGTGCTGGAAAGGTGAAAACCCCATATCACCAAATTAAAGATGATTTTCATGGTTTTTGACCAAAGACAAAAAACCAAAGGGGTTTTTGGAAAGTTTTTGTTGGGAGGCCATTTAAATGTTCCCTGAAGTAAAAACCAATAAAAAAAGTTGAAAACCACTTGGTCGATTTGGATGCCAAAAACCAACGTCAATAACCAATGTCGAACGCCGATAACCAACGCTGAAAATCGAAGGTTATGGCTTTTGAAAACTAAACATTTGGAAAACTATTAAATGTTCCCAAAGCAAAAACAAAATATAAAAACTCAAAAACCATTTGGCTAAAATCAATGCCAATATCGAACGCTGAAAACCGAATGTCGATAACCAATGGTTATGGTTTTGTAAGGCAAGGACCATGGGTTTTGGAAACTTAAAAAGATTTGTGAAAACACGATTGTGATGCAAGAAAAATATTTTTTTGAGCCAAGACTTAGAGAAATCGAATGGGCTTGTTACAACAAAAACCTAAGTCTTTAGACAGTGTCTTTAGAACGTCAATATCGTCGTCTTTAGAAACAACAATGTCATCATCTTCAGAAACATCAATGCCTTTCTTGTATTCTTTATTCCTTTAAAGAACTTTTGCTAGGCCTTTGAATCTTTTCATTTTGTTCAATGGCGCGACAGTTTGTCAATATTAAAACCTAAGCAGAAACAAACATTGTCATTAGCAAAACGTCGATGTGAAAATGTTTTCCAACAATGGTGACCTGCACTGGCGGGATTCAGATCTTGTTCATGTGCACGATAAAAAAAAGCTCGATAGTCCCACAAATTTATTAAGATCCCCTTAACCATCAATCTAAGAATAGCGCAATGGTTCCAAATTCTAAACGCAAGCAGCTGTTTGTTTTCTTGCAACCTCGCTTGGATACCACTTTTTTATGAACGCTCCACCTCACAACGACACTAAAAATATTCAAAAGCACAAGGTTAGCAAAGAATGACCTTTCTATCAAAATAAAAGCTGAATAAAGTTGATGTACATCACCTTTCTATTAACCTCAAAGAGGTCTTATTTATAGTACTAAGCTAGACCCACCACAACAAATCAGATAGATTTTTTAGATGGGGTAAAGGTTCTTGAATTGAGCCATAAGACACTTTTGTTGGACCTTATTAAAATATTAAATTGAATCGATTACTTAGTTCAACTCAAGACCTTATATACCGATGTTTTTCTTTTCAACTTTTTGTGTAGGGTCAACTTTAACACTCCCCCTCAAGTGGAAAACCAAACAATTTTGAATCTATTTGGTTGACCACTTGCAAATCAATTCCCATCCCTTGAGTTTTTTTACCCCCAAACACCGAAAGGACCATGCTATGATGGGTATGGACTTCTAGACGAGCAATCTAGGTAAACGAGCCTCGGGGCATTAGATTTACATTCCACATAAACAACTGGGCTAAAGACTATGGTCATTAAGAATGAATGTCTAGACGAAAACCTTAACAAACGAGGTGGGCTAAAACTGTTTTTGATACCATGATAGAATTTTTGGATGGAGTTAGGGTTACTGGATTAGGCCATAAGACACTTTAACTTAACCACATTAAAAGATTGAATCCAATCAATTTCTTAGTTCAACTCAAGAGATTATATGTCGATTATTTTTCTTTTCAACTTTTGATGTGGGATAGACTCTAACAATAATACTAGGACTACGACTCTTATTATGGTTGCCTTTACACGTTTCCTAGTCTAACCGACATTAACTTTCTAATTCAAGTCATAAAGACTAACAATTTTCTTTGAGGTAATCAATATGTAATCCACAGTTTTTCTATTTATAATTTTCTTCGAGGTAATCAATATGTAATATATTGTAGAGTATATGATTATTTATATTTGCAATGTTGTACTACACATTTAGGATGAAACTATCGTAACATATTACTTGGCAATATGTAATTGGGAGAATATGTATCCATTAATCCATAAAGGAGTATTGGTTGATCAAGTAACTTGTCCGATAGGCATTAGCTGAGATGATGGAAAAGAAGTCAAAGGCAAAATGGGGCAACAAGATAGGATATGCACTAACTCCACTATTCATTGGTCTTCAAGAAAACCCATTGGGTTATATTTATAAAGCAAAAGCCATTATTGACCGAAAGAAGCTCTCCCTGGAATCCAGATTATCCTTCTCTGCTGCTCACCTCATAGTAAAGCTTTTTGGAATCGAGGTAAATTACTTCACTCTTTTTTATAGGCCCTAATTTTTTCTAACGAATTAGTGTCAAAGCTCTGGTCAACTTGACATTAATTTTGAAATGACTCTTCATACAAATATTTACAAAGATTAGTGCTAATTTGTGTTAGTGCTTTTAAATGCCTATAAGAAGTTGCTTTCCAAATTGGGGTACACTTAGTATTGTTCTAAAAAAGAATTATGTTTTGGATACCCCATTTGTGACTTCAATTTTAAGACCACTATTCTTTTGATATTCACAATACGAACTCTTAAAAAATTCTCATGTATGAATGTCTGTAAGAAGGTGGGGTAAAATATGTCAGGATTGAGGTACCACTGCACTTGCATTGGTCTAAGCCAAAGAATTAAGTTTCGTTATCCCAATCCTAACCTTAACTTTGACACCACTCTTTTTATTGACATTCATAGACACATAATATTACTAGTGTTTGTGTATGTGTGTAACAAGGTAGTATCAAAATAGGGCCCAATATTATGGTACCCTTAGCACTATTGTTTTTAAATCAAAACCTTACATTTAATAGATGTGGTAATAAAGTTTTAGGATGAACTAACCCCCTTCCTAATGTTCACAAAAAAAGGTGAACGTGCACTAATAAGGGCACAACCCCATTACCATGTAGAACAAAAACAAAATAAACACTAAATTCTCAACCATAGATGGACTGGGAATCTTAAAATTATTTATGATAAAGTGGAAATAAGACCACCTAGTACTATGTTCACCCTAGCCATTAAAGATTTCTTTACAATCTGTTTCCATAATGACACGCTTCCAACCCTTAGCCTTCAACCAACTCAAAGCTTCTTTTATAACCATCACTTCAACCTTTCTCGGGCCGAACCTACCCCTGCACTAGACACTTTTTGCCCTGATAAATTACCATCCATGGTCCCTAGCAATACATAAGAAGCCAATAGATCCATGAATGATACCCACCAATGCATCAACATTTACCTTGATGAAATTTGTCGATGGCCTGCTTGATATGGCGTCTGCTATACTTAGTGCCTCAAGAGAGAAACTATGGCCGATGTCGTCCAGCATTCTGAAGCTTACCCATCGAATATGGTATGAACAATGTTAGGAATCCGAGATCAGAGGCGATCAAGCGGAAGCGAACAAACACACACACACAAATAGCAGAAAATAAGAACACGAGATTTAACGTGGTTCGGTCAGTAACCTATTCCACAAGTTGCAACTAGGGTTTATCTTTTATTAGGTGCTCACAGATTATAGTTACATGATTGGGTATTTATAAGATATAAATTAGGGTTAACAACTTGCTAAACAAGAAACAACTAATGGGCCCTTTAATTAATAACTAAAACCGGCCCCCCATATTTCTTCTCTTTAACCGACCGGGCTTAAAGCCCAAAGCTCTAAAGCCTTCACCGAATAACCCAACAATCTCCCACTTGAAGGATTTCGCATAGACACAAATGCCATCCAAGTAAACCCATCATGAGTAACTCAGTAATCTTCACTG